CAAGAAAGAAATAGTGAGAAGTACCTTGTACATGAAACATCATTTATAAACAACTACAAATGATAAAAACTTAAGTCTGATCAGTCACTCCTGGTTTATACTATGGTATAAAAATGAGAAAAGAAGAAACAAATAGTGCGAAGTCAGTAGAACATAACATATTTCCAAAACCAACCTCAATTGATAAGAACTCAGTCTATTCAGTCACTAATGTTACTTTAAACCAGTGGCGTGTTTATGGGGGGGCCAGGGGGGGCCTTGGCCCCCTGTAACAAATTCTCTTCAATTGGTGTGACCACAGTGGGTGTGAGCATCTGGGATTTTCCATGTGGCCATGGCCAGTAGATCTATTCTTAATTACTTTTCATCTGCTTCAAGGTCCACTTCTCCTCAACCAAGACTTATGTCAGATGAGGGATATCCCAAGGCTCTCAGTCAATCAGATTCAGAGGACTCCTCCAGTGACAGTCATGAGAATGACGCTGGTGCTAGTCAGCGCCGGCGGACCGCTGTACCAGGTGACTTGAGCTCTAGCCCGCGTGCCTCTTTCACTTCTTCTTCATCTTTCAGTAACTTAGCAGACCCCTGTGATCCTTCTCTACCTTTACCAGTCAATCCACAGGCTCAAGACTCGGATACGTAAAGGTCCACATCAACCAAGCCTTGTGAGATATAAGTTAACTTCTCACAATGGAAGACATAGGAGCTTTCTCTCTAAGTGGTATGCTACATATGACTGGCTGGAATACTCACCAATAGTTGACAAATGTACTGCTTTGTCTGTCGTTGTTTTGCTCATCGTGTGGTTGGAAGTGTTGGGCGTATAGATGCCGCATTTACTTCGTCAGGTACCCAGGCTAAGAGATGGAAGAATGCTTGATCAGCCTCATCAAAACATCAAAGCAGCTCTATTCACAAGCAAGCTGCTCTATGCTGGGTTGATTTTGCCACTGAAAAACCCATATCTCATCATTTAAGCAAGGAGGCCGAAGCCAGTGCATCGAGGCGAAAAATGCATCAAGAAAGTAATCGGCAGGCTTTATATCGGATCATTGATATTGTGAAGCTACTTGCTGAAACAGGTCATCCATTCCGTGGACATCGCAAGGGAAGTGAGTCGTTAAATAAGGGTTTATTTCTTGAAATTGCTGGTCTTCTGACAAAGTATGATCCAATTTTGAATAGTCATTTTGAAAAGGGCCCAAAAAATGCCCTTTATACTTCTAATACTATTCAAAATGAGCTTCTTGCATCTTTGTATAATACTATGAAAAGTGCAATCAAGCAAGAATTGGAGACAGCATCTTGTTTTAGTGTAATGATTGATGAAGCTTTCGATTATGGTCACATAGAGCAAGTGTCAATTGTTTTGCGTTATGTTGATTCTGCTTATGTGATCCAAAAAAGAATGCTTCATATCGAATCTACTGATAGTACTGATGCTGAAGCTCTTTTTCAAATTCTTTTGTCTAGTTTGTCTATTATATCACTCTCTGCTGATAAGCTAATAGGTCAGTGCTATGATGGTGCTAGTAACATGCGAGGGGCCATTTCTGGGCTTACAGGCTAAAGTAAAAGCTTTATGCCCAAAGGCTGTTTACTCTCATTGTTATGCCCATTGTGTGAATTTAATAATAGTAGAAGCAACATCCAGCAATCAGTATGCAAGGAAGTTTTTTGGAATTTTACAAAATCTGTATTGCTTTCTTGAAGCAAGTCCTCACAGACATGCTAAGCTACAATCCATTATTTTACAAGTGATTTCTAAACCTCGTATAAAATCTATAAAGAAACTATCAGATACAAGATGGTCGTGTAGAAGTGATGCTATTTTGGCTGTTTTTGAGAACTATATAGCTATAGTTAAAGCATTAGAGGAGATAGAAGAAAGTAGTCATATTGGTCGTATTGCTTCTGAAGCTAATGGACTAATAAATCAGTTGACAACATTTGAATTCATTCTCTGCCTTATTGTTATGAAGAATCTGCTTGTCAAAAGTCGTACTGTTAGTGATTACCTTCAAAATGAAGATGTAGATATTGTTTCTGCTATGCAGGTTGTTGATACAACAGTGAAGACATTAAGGGAAATGAGGACTGAAGCACAATTTAACAAGATTTTTGATGAAGCTAAGAAGCTAGCACATGATATGCCTATAGATATTCAGGAAATGCAACCAAGAGTAAGAAAGATCAGCAGACATTATGATGATAATCCTGAAACACAACACTTTATCATTAATACAGAGGAGAAATATCGTGTTAACTTTTTTTATGATGTTTTGGATGTGATGTTGTCAGAATTTGAAAGACGGTTTAATCAAGAATCTCGGGAATTGTTGTTACCTCTAGGAGCCCTTCAGAAACGACAACTTATGAAAGACTGTGAATATCAGAAGATAGCAGTACACTTTGACCTTGATCCAGTTGCCTTGCAAAATGAATGGAGTTTGATGGTGAATGACAGTGTAATTGATGCTACTAAGCCTTCAATGATTTTGAAACAATTAGCTGATACTAAAAGAACAGATGTTTACACTGAATTAACTGCTTTATTAAGTAAGTTATGCACTATTCCATTTACAAGTGCATCTTGTGAAAGATCGTTTTCTAAGCTATCGTTATTGAAGTCAAAGCTACGAACTACTATGAGTCAGGAAAGATTAGTACATCTAATGATACCATTTATTGAGCAAGATTTACTCAGCAGAGTTTCAAATGAAGATGTATTAAAGGATTTTGCAACTGTTGCAAATAGAAGGCTGGACTTTGGATTATGAATAATAATATTATGATACGTTATACCGACCATTTCGTATTTTTATTAAATATTACGACCATTTTGTAATAATTAAAATTGGACACGCCCTCATGAATAATTAATTAGATGCGTAAAATTTTTCCGCGCGCGGGTATGTACCCCCCTGTCTTTTCATCCTGAACACGCCACTGAGTGCAGGGTAAAGACATTTGCTCTCTTCCTAGACTCTCCCATGTCTTTATGAGCTCACTTAGCCACTGACAAACAGTCTGTTGTAACTAGAAGGCCAGATAGAGTAGCTTATCAAGCCGTCAAGCAGACCATTCTAGTGAAATGCCACGCTTGCCGTCTTATCAAGTATACACAAGGAAACTACAGTCTCCACTTCAACCTAAAAGACTTCTAGAAAGTTTTCAGTGGCTAATGAAACTCCGTACTTGCACTAGACTGCAGTTAATAGGGCAAAAATCTCGTTGAGCAGAATAGACTCCATTTCTTCTTCACCCGTTGCCATGGCAATAATTAATTATTGCAATGAATATCATTAAATAATGTGACCGCACTTTTCATTGCAATTTCTGGACATGGCCTACTTGATAAGCCAAACCTCTCTAAGAAGGACACATATGGGCTAGTGTTTACTTGTCCTTAAATTGAATGTACATGTATGCCTTATACTATTTACTCCATAATCTCGGAGGCCA